GTGTGTGTGTATATATATATATATATATATATATATATATATATATATATATATATATATATATATATATATATATATATATATATATATATATATCCCGGAGTACTTTCATCGTGACGACTTCGGCACTCGAACTCAATTTCCCATAAGCACTAGCGACAAAAATCACAAGGTCCATCATGGGATCTTGCAGCCCTACTTCACAACAGAACCGAGTTTAGATCTTGCGGGGGATCTATTCTAGAGACATGGCAGTGGAAACCATCGCACCTGACTGGGAGTTTGACCGCTTTGACGACGGTTCTCAGAGTAAGTCCTCGATGCTGGCCGAGCGTCCAGAGAGAAGCAGGAGCGGACTAAAACTGCTGTTTGCTTCCAGTGTTAGCTTATGCTACTAGCCAAATGCTAAGCCACTGTGCTCCCAATAGAGAAAACCCTTCTGCAGTTTGGTTGAAGTATCAACTTTGTAAATACATTTAAGATGTGCTGATTGGTTTGAGTAAACGTAGTGTGTACGCGTGAAATTGGTGTGTAAATGAGTGAAATTGAAAGCTAGCTACGTTAGCTCACCCCCAGGGAGAACTGACAGTTTGACATTTATGATCACGTTAAACCCATTTAATTTAGTTGCGTTAATACTTAGTAATCATGTATGATTTAATTAGTGATTACTGTACTGATTCTACTTATAAATCTTTCGGTGTTTATGTTTACTCAACATGAAAGCTCACTCAAGAGTACAGCAAAGGAGAGATGTTTTTAATCCATCCATGCCAGAATCTTGATCTAAATAGTCCCTACAGTGTCCTACTACTGCATGAAATGTTTCTTCCTTAAATAGTGTATTATTTTTTTTTTATTAGTTTTCTGTAAGGATACCTAGGTCAGTATAAGCAAGTGATGGAAATATTAACAAGCAACATTTGAATGTTAGTAAAGGCATCAAGTCAAGTGAGACTGAGTTGATTTCTTAGAGAAAAATAGCGTCTTGCAGCTAAAATTCCTGATATCAAATTCAACAGAGATCCCAGCTTATGTAACACGAAGATCCACACAAAAACAGGAATAAAAGTCATTGTCCAGACCTGTTTTAAGTTGCTCCATTCAAATTTTCCTTTCGGCTGTAACTTGTCCAAATGCATCTCCATTGATGAGCATTGAGAAAAAAAACAAGAAAGTATATAGACACATAATTTATTTTAATCTACCCATCCCATTTGACAGCATTTTCAGTTTTAGTCTCAGGACTGAAATTAGATTTATTATTATTATTATTATTATTATTATTATTATTAGTATTAATGAAATTACAAACATGCAGTGCAGCAGTCTGAATCTAGCCTTTACTGTTGTATTTTGTTTCATTAGAAGTACAGTTTATTAGCACAACGCAATAGTCTGTACAAACCACATTAATTTCAAATATATGACACCTTATATGTATGCCTTCAAAACCTCTGGAGAGCAACTGCTCAACTACTTGACTCAAGTTGCATTTGTCATAAGAATGTGACAAGGCCTCATAAGTACATTTTTCAATTTGCTTACTAAAAGCAATCACATTTATTTTCATGAATGGACTTGTTATTCTTCTTATTTAACAGAAATCCACACAGAGGTTCAGCTGAAGAACTACAGCAAGTTTCTGGAAGAATACACCTCTCAGCTGAAGGGCATTGAAGAGGCTCTGGATGACTCTATTGGAGATGTGTGGGACTTCACTCTGGACCCCATCGCTCTAAAAGTAAGTAGCTGCACGTTTACCTGTAAAAGGAGAAAATGACAGAAACTAAACTCATGCTTTTCTTTGATTCTTTTCAGCTTCTCCCATACGAGCAGACCTCATTATTAGAGTTAATTAAAACAGACAACAAGGTAAAACAATCAATTGTTTTTTTTTTTTTGTTTTTTTTTAAATAAATAAGCATTTGCACCGTGGTATGAAGCTAACCACATGTGTTGCACGCAGGTCTTGAATAAAGTAATAACGGTTTATGCTGCTCTGTGCGGTGAAGTGAAAAAGCTAAAATATGAGGTAAGCACTGTTAAAACAAAGGACTCTTCTCTTCTATTGGATTACTCTGGTCTATGTGTGTTTGCTCTCTGGGACACTAATGCTTTTATTTCCAGGCGGAAACCAAATTTTATAATGGCTTATTGTTCTATGGAGAGGGAGGTAGAGTATCAGCTCTTATTATTTGTAGACAATTTCCTTATTGCAGGTGAAAATATGGCTGTAGCACGTGCTGTTTTTTTTTATTACAGTGTGTGAAACCAATGTTCTTGAAGGCGAGTCGCAGATTCAAATGGGCAGATTTATTTCATTCCTACAGGTGATTTGTACATATTAAACTTTGTTCACTTTTAGTTTTGTTTTCTTTACTTATTATCTTTTGATTCTTCTATAGGAACTGTCCTGCTTTGTATCCAGATGTTACGAAGTGGTGGTCAGCATCATTCATCAGCTGGCTGCCCTCTACAACAGCAGCAAGTAAGCTCCACAGGTCAAGCACTAAACAAAATGTCTTGGATCAGATTGAGAAACTATTCTGCTATGGAGGAGTCATTAATAATTGGATTACTTATTTTGGATGAGATTTTTTTTTGTCGTTTTGTTTTTCTGTCATCCATACGTGGCAGAAAAAATCTTTGATGATGTAAAATGTTTTGTTTTCATGTTTTTCTCTTCTTTTTTTTTCTTGCAAATGTACTGAAACTTTTTGAACATTTTTGTCAAGCCTTTCTTTCTGTTAAAGAATGTTTTCCACTTCATCTGAAACTACAACCTGTTAATATGAATTCCTCCTTTACACTCTTCAAACCAAGAAATCTCTCTCAACATTAGCAGTCAATTTTATTTTTTTATTTTTAAGATGTTTCCCTGAAAAGGTCGTAGAAATATTTTATATAATAGCAAACTATTCTCAAGTAATCTAGAAAATAAATTGTTGTTTTGCTGCTACCAAAGTTCTCCTTACCATTTTGTTGAGATCTCAAAAAAAGCAATAAAAGTTAAAGATGTCATTTTTTTTTTCTGTATCCCATCACATTTTACCGATCCATCTGCCGGCTTATCCAAACAAGTCACCAATGACAGCCTGACTGAGGAACATTAGATTTTTTTGTTAATAATTCAGTAATTTCTTTGTGGTTCCGCTGTACATCTGGATGATAGGTCAGTGTAGTTTCTTTAGTATTCCTAGTTTTTAAAATGATAATAATTAGTGCCAAACATCAATCATTCCAATTGCACTTGGATTTTTTTTAAAGAAATTCACTCCAATCTTGCCATCAATGGGTTTCGGTTGTTCCTAAAATGTTTTTTTTTTTTTTTCATGTTTTGCAGGCTTAAAAAAATAGTAATGTGCTTAATGTTTGCTCTTGTACTTTAGGGGTGCAACAAAAATCATTGAATCATCTGGTGTCCATTTCCAGGTTGGTTTTCTTTTACTGTTTTCTTAATTATTATTATTATTATTTTTATTTTCAATCCTTTTTTGTTAACTTGGCCTTCATCTCCTCCTGTGTCTTCTCTGCATTTCTCCTGCAGGTGGTTTATGAGCACCTGGGGGAGCTCCTAGTGGTGCTGATGACGCTTGATGAGATTATGGAAAATCACGCTACCCTGAAAGATCACTGGAAGATGTATAAAAGGTCAATACACACACATAAAATGTGCAAAAGATTTTCTCTCTTCCCGACCAAACACAGGGAACTTAATTGCACATATGTGTGCAATACAATCTCTGGACAAAAGTTCCCCAAAGTCCTGATACATGGCACTTTTTAACAAAAAAAAATAAAAAAAGCGTGGAAAGGTTTTAACCAATCCTGTTTGACTTTATGATTTACGCAAGTCCACTTGCAAGCTTCAAGCTTCACACTGGACTCTCAGCAAAGATTCCTGGAATCATGCAGATATCACCGCAGCTTTAAAACTTTACCTCAATTAATCTTTCCACGTTTGCCAAGTTATTCTTGGATGGCTAACTTGGTTTTCCAGACAAAACAAAGCTATTACTCCTCCTTCTGACAGGAAAATGCTTTCTACTGCCAAAAACATAAGCCTTCTTCCACAACTTTAAATAAAAAAAATGCTAGATTTTCTCCTTTATAAACAACTTCACTTTTAATTTAGTCAATTATTGAACCACACGCATTAACTGAGTCTTACTCTAAGC